CTTTTGTTTTAAATTGCTACAAGTTGATTTTATTACTCAGCCTTACATTCAGAATATATTGTTTCTACTAAAATTAAAGCAAGCAAATTTTTTTACATTTAATTAATTGAAATATATCACAAATATTATTTATATCTTTTATATTTAAACAAGTTGTGTCGTAAGGGAAAAATATTGGTCAAAAATTAATTTAATGCAGGTCGGGTCATTTATTTATAGTATTGTCGCATACAGCTTTGAATGTATAGATGGGTAATAAATATTTTTTAACATGGTATTGTAGTCAAAAAGCCTTATTTTGTATCCATGAATTCTTTCCTATAGTGGGACGGCTAAAAAGTTCTCATTTTGTTATTTGAAAACAATGGGATTACTTTTAATATTGAAACAATAAATTAAAGGGGGAGTATCAACATATAACCTCTTATTTTCAACAAAAATTTAAACTTTGCTAGAATAATCTTGTCAATTCGCAAAAGGAGAACAAAATAATCATTCATTATATAAAATGCAAAACCTACATTATTCATAATTATGAACGATATAACCTACTTTAAATTTTATATAAATAATAATAAAGTGTATAGGAGTTATATTATTCAAAAGCTTTGAATATGTATTATTTCTTGTGCATACAAATACATGGCTTATTCCGATTTTCTTTTTCTTTGATTATGAGTTACTTTTAAAATCATGTTCTAATCCCCTAATGTATTTAAAATTTCATATTCTGAAAGGCAACGTATTTAATTTTTATCCATCTTTTATTAAGTTAAAATATAAAAAGAAAGGGAGTAATGTTTACCAAAAAGAAGAAGAAGAAGAAAGGGAGTAACATTTTTCAAAAATCTCAAGCAACCAATGTCATAACTCATTTTGAACCCTATCAAATGCACACACCCTACTTTAATTTTAATTAATCATGAGTCATTTGACTTTAACAACCATGGTTAATCATAGATAAGGTGTCTTGGATCTATTCTAATGGGTATTAAGTTTAGGAAGAATGATTGAAGTTCCAAAACAAGTAATTTATAATAATTTGGTTCCCCATAAATTTTTTTGAAAAATCAATTGCAAATATTATTGATTTAGGCTGTTGAAATTTAGGAGTTTCAATTATAAATATCACATTTAAATTTTAGATATAACTCTCAATCTACAATTATGGTTCCTGTTTGTAGGTATTTGAGTAATTATTTACAATTTATTTTTTTAAAAAAATGTATCGTGGACCTAATTATAATAAATTTTTTATTTCTTATTTTATGAATTCATTGTCATTCTCCCTTAAAAAAATGCGAATAAGTTCTAACAGAATGAATAAAATGTAATCGTATCATTGTGGTGTAAAATAAAGTAAAATTAAAATGATATTAAAAATTAAAAAAATAAGGTTATACTACTCTGTTTCTATTTATAAGAAAAACTATCACATTTTATTTATTTTTTTATATAAGTAAAATTATATATTTTAATAAATATTTATTATATATTTTTTAAATCGCCCCTTATAACTTACATTAATGAAAAATAATTCATATATATTTATATTGATTAACACAAGACATTTTAATTTAATTTCTTTATTTTCATATATAATTAATATGGTTAACTAACTTTTTTAAACTGTGTGATATAATTTTTTCTCTTATATATAAAAATAAAAGGAGCATGTGTATGAGGTGATCAGTTAAAAATGTTTCATTAAGAAATAAATATATTAATTGAAATTTGCGCAGGTTAACGCAACATGACAATATCATATAGCAACGTACAGGGACAAGTAGCTCCACATTTTGGAATCTGAGAGGGCTTAGCTTCTCTGTCTCCCCCTAACAAGGGCGAGCTGAGCTTGAACAGGAAATAGAAAAATCAAAATAAACCAATAAACAAAATTTAAGGAGCCCAGTCTTTTTTAAGGTGGTCGGCATTTTAACCCTTTATTTTTCTTTACTTGTATACAAGCGCTCTTTTTTTTTTTTTAATTCCATCCCATGCATCCTAGAAAATATGGAGTATTATGATCACCTATCTAAATTTTTTAGTATTTTTATTTAATATGATTGCATATTCTAAAACTCAAACTCAACACCCTAAATAAGTTAATTCAGCTTTATCAACTGGTTGAACTAAACTTCCTCTCACATGCATGCTCTAATTTTGATGGAAATGATGATATTAAGATATTCCTTTTAGTTTTCAATATAAGGCAATTTTAACTAACTTTACATTTACTAAAAAATAGTAGTTACGTATTGAAAATTGTTTAAAAAATGTGTTTGTGCTAAATTTGGAGCATAGGGTCTCAAGACAAATCTACCAAACCCTAATTTAGAAGAAACCATAATAGCTTAACAAGGCCAAATCTTAGAAACACCTAAATAGAATGACATGCTTTGACGGAGCGACGACCAAATTTTAGGCCACTCTCTCCACTTTTCGAGAAATTAGGAGCAATTGTCTCACTACTCTACCTTAATAAAGCACAAATACAAGACTTTAAACAACGTTAACAATTACAACTATTTTTAAGGGTGAAATTCAAAATTCAAAGAAGTGTGTTATTATCTTTTTTTATAGAAGGCAACTAGTGCATAACTAAAATGATATTTTTCAAGTACTTCAACACTCATCAACTTTGAATTAAATTATCTAGTGCAACCTCAAACTAACTCAGTGTCACTTTAACTTTGCCTAGTACTACCCCTAACAATTAAGTTTACCTTTTAGGCTATTTACTTTACTTTTTCCTTCGATTGCACAGGACACCCATTGTAATTACTCCTCAGTAATGCAGTTATGTTTTTTTACGTACTATTGCATATTCTTAAACTTTTTAGTTAGCTTTATTACTCTAAAGAAATTGTGATAAAGAACCTAGAGAATCCACAATTGATTAATACATTATAATCTCTCTAAGGACTTAATCCCCTGGCATGCATGACAATCACCAGGGGGCGCTATGCTCCGAATCCAAATCCTGAAACCATACCAAAAATATTAATATCAAATTTTGTCTTTTGCAATTAATAACAATAATAAATTGTTGCATATGATTTCAAATGATAATAAACTCTCTTGCCTTGTATTAAAAACAGGAGACAGTATATAGCTAAATGCGAACTAGTCTGTTGAAAAAAAAAAGATAAATGCTGACTAGGTTTGTTGAACAAATATGTAATAAATATTGATGATCCCTTGTGCTTATGCGATTGTTTCTTTAAAATTAAATGCTGGCATATTTGATTTCACAAGTGTATAACTTATCAAGGTGACAAATTAATTAACCACTTGCACAGATAATTTACAAAGAATGTAATTCACCAATAACAAGATATAATTACTCTATTTTTCAATTTTATGTATAAGTCACTTCTAATTATTTTATTAGAATTAAGAAGATTGAATCATTGATATTGTTTTAAAATGAAAGAAATTTTTGAATTAACTTTTATCAATAATCTTTATAAATACTTTCTCTCTCTCATATAAGATCTTCAAATGCTATATCTCCAATGACATGATCTAGCTTCGCAAGGAACTTAACATTACTTCTTAGTATGTACGTTCTATGACTTTCGAGCAAGAAGCCTTGAGTTCCTTGAGATTAACATATGTTTGGACCTAAATTAAAGCGTTAAGTTAACAAAAGCATAAAATAACAAAGAAAAATGAATGAGAAATGTCAGGTTCAATGCTCAATTAAAAACAAGGCCCGGTGCATTCTCAAATAAGGCTCCATGTTGAGAATGTGTTGAAGCAAAGAGGTGTAGTTCTTAAGACTTGGAGCAATTGAATGTGAAAGACAGTTGCAGGGACATGAGATTGTAATCTAAAGTGCCATGAATTTTGTTGAATCGTGCCTAATGATAGTAGATATTTTGCATGCAGGCTCTTGATTTTTCAAGCACAACAATCTCAGGTGTACAAGTATAAAAAGGGAGCAACTGATAAAATCAAGGGTTACTAGCACAAAAAAAAAAAAAACCTCATTGCTTCATTTTGAATTTTAATTTATTTTTTGTTTTTCACTTAGTTTAGGGTTTTTTTTTATATTTCATAGTTGTAATCACTACAAATTTGTAATTTCATTCTAGTAATCAGATCCCCTTCACATCATTATTTATACATCTTCACATTCAGTTGAATTGAGGTAAAAGTGTCCAAGGATTCTTTTATTATATTTGAGACTCTATATTTCTAACATGCCTAATACTTATATTGTTTAGATACGACGAATCATTCATGACGAATATTATGATGTTATTTAGATTCACTTGAACTTGTTAACTTGCATGTTTGAAAAATTATACAAGGATAAATATACAATTGAAAGAAACTAATCAATAATTTAAATTTTTATACAAAGTAAGTTATAAATTCGACAATAAAAATATTTTAAAATATGGCTCATATATATGAAACCAAAAAGGGTATAATAAGTATTTTGAAAATATAATATAAGTAAATGGGCAAAGAAAGACGCACAAGTAGTCAAATCTCCTCCTCCTCCTCCTCCTCAAATCTTTCCATCTCCATTCTTTCAAAAAATAAAAATAAAAAAAAAATCTGAATCCTTTCTTAAAAAAACTAGTACTTAACTCTTACCAGTACCACACTGGTTAAAAAAAAAAAAAAACTCTTACTAGTACCACTAAAAATTAATAAATTAATGATTTACCACTCTTTCTTGGGTGGTGAAAAAGTTTCTACAATTTGTCTACGCATTCCATTGAGCTCTGTGAAAAGTTAAATACCCTCCTCCAATGACACCGCGCCACGTTGTGATGAGATCTAGCGAGTGTCCTTCTTTTGTCCACTCTCTCGAGTGCTGAGAGACTCCTCTGAAAAGTCGCGATCTGTCACCCCAGGAGAGAAGGGGCCTCGTTGGCCATGCAATCACGGCCGGTTCATCTGTGACCGTCGGATTCATCCATAACCGTCGTTCATGGCCCCACCATCCCTTAACGGTGTGGATTCTCTTGCATTTCCACATCCCCAATTCATGAGATCGCAGCTCCTCCACACCTCACCACCTTCCTTCCCTGTATATTGCTTCGCTGCTACTTTACTTCCCTTGAGCAACTTTTGCTTCCGCGTCGCTGTGAATCTGAAGAACAACAAGAAGAAGGAGAAGGTATTGCTATCGCCAGAGTTTGGTTCTCTTGTCAGGATTTAATCTTTTCGACCTTTAATTTCGCTGTCTGGATAGGTAGAACCGTAGAAACACCAGCTTCCCACTTGAATTTTGTAAAATTTATGTTGTTTGAAGTGATCGAAGATTTTTTGGGTGATGGTTATTTAAATATTGTTAGCCTTTTGATATATTTTTTCCCTGGGGGATCAGAGTTCCGCGATCTTTAGCCTGAATTGGTATTTTGGTTTCGACGCAGATCGGAGGCGTCTGATACGCGTTTAATTTGATTAAAGCTGATTTAATTGTGGTTGGTGAACTGGGTTTTGGATTCAGGGTTCGATCAAGAGACCATAAAATTTTGTGGTAAGGTCACCCCTTGATTTGCCTTTTCTGCGACTTGTTTTTGATGTTCACTATCTGATTGGATTTTCTGGAGTAGTTATTTGTGTCTCGAATGAGATGTAAGATCTCTGCCTTTATGTCCATTATAACGTTGTAACTGTTCATTTGATTATCCTAATTAATTTTAATCGACTTTCTCTTGATCCGTTTACAATCATTAGGAAAATGCCTGTATTCGTTTTGTCATTTTTTTTAATATTCTCCCTTTTGTTGCTAATGATTTCTTATGTTCCAAGCAAAGAAATTGTTAGATTGCTGATCTGTGGCTGAGGACATCATTAACTTTATAATCTTACTTCATGAAAGGGTGCTTGGAAATTTGATGTTGTCACCTTCGTGGATAGCTTTCTGCATATAATTCCTTTCTGAGACTATTTGTAAATATATATGTATATATATTATATTTGCTTTTTTCCAGTCCTTTCCTTTTTAAATTTATATCAATGGGTGCGAAGAATGAACTCAAGTACAGTCAAAAACTTGAATCTTGAAATGCACTGATGATTCTCCTATAATATGGCTGCAGTGTTGCTCATAATATTATTTAAATGTGCAGCATTCTACTTGTTTTTGCATAAAACATGTGGAGATTTAAGCCATTCATGCAAAAAGAGCCAGCTGGGCTTGAAGGCCGTTCTATTGACATTGGTAATCTTAAAGTAAATATCCTGAAGGCCATTGCTGAAGGAGGGTTCTCTTGTGTCTACTTGGCCCGTGATGCTGTACACATGTCAAAACAATATGCTTTGAAGCACATGATATGCAATGATGAAGAATCGCTTGAATTAGTAAAGAAGGAGATTTCAGTCATGAAGTCATTGAAAGGGCACCCCAATGTGGTCACACTTTATGCTCATACAGTCTTTGATATGGGTAGGACGAAAGAGGCTTTCATTGTTATGGAATTTTGTGATAAGTCTCTAGTTAATGTGCTGGAGAGCCGAGGTTCTGGTTATTTTGATGAGAAGCAGGTTCTTCTAATCTTCAGGGATGTATGTAATGCAGTTTTTGCTATGCACTGCCAATCCCCACCTATTGCTCACCGGTAATAGGGCTAACTACTTATCTGATGTTTTTTTCAAAATTAGAAATCTCTCTCTACTTATTTACTTTTGTCATATTCTCAGGATAATTTTTCCAAACAATTTGTTGATACACTCTCATCTTTATATTTATGTACTTTTTAAAAATTTACTGGGAAATTCCCTGTTGTTAGTATATCTAATTGAGAAGATCTGCTTCAGGATCATCTTTTGCAAACTCAGTTTCTACCCTAAATATGATAGATAGCTAATGTGTATTTACAGTTTTAGACTTCCTTATTTTACTATTGTTCTATACTTCATTTTTTATGTACTAAGGACTAACAGTGAGATAATGTCTGGATCTTCATGTGTGATTACTTTGTCATTATGATATGTTTTTCTTCATCCCTTGTGAAGTTATTCCCTTGTAATTTAAATTTTCTATCAACTGTACTATTTGACGCTGGTGGTTTTACTGTTTGTGTGAGGCATCATTGAAAAGTTATATTTAAATTAACATTTTTGTGGTGTTTGATTTGATTATACTCTATTGAATAGCATTGATGACTTTTCCCCCTTGTATTTTCAGAGACTTGAAAGCTGAGAATCTTTTATTAGGCCCAGATGGTTTATGGAAATTATGTGATTTTGGGAGTACTTCCACCAATCACAAGCGTTTTGAGAAACCAGAAGAAATGGGAATTGAGGAAGACAATATCAGGAAGCATACAACTCCTGCCTACCGGGCCCCTGAGGTTAGTCGAGGGATTTCCCCCCTCATTGCAGTTTTTTGATGCAAGTTCTCTATTAATTGCATTCCTGTAATTCATTTTAGATGTGGGATCTGTTCCTGAGAGAAGTCATCAACGAGAAAGTGGACATATGGGTAAGCTGAGCATTGGCTCTAATTCCTCTCTTGATTGATGAAATTTAATTTTTGTTGCATAACTGACGATCCACTTGTAAACATCTTAGGCATTGGGGTGTCTTCTTTTCCGCATATGCTACTTCAAAAGTGCATTTGATGGTGAATCAAAATTGCAAGTCTTAAATGGAAACTATCGCATTCCTGATTTGCCAAAATACAGCTCATCCATCACGGACCTAATCAGAGATATGCTCCAGGCCAGACCAGACGACAGACCAGATATCACGCAGGCAAGAGCTTTGCTTGATTGGCCATTCATCTCCATGAATTTAGGTTGGTCTTAGATCATCCATGCCGATGGCATTCTTAGGTGCAGGAATGGGAAAATAATGCTGTTACTTATGTTGGATATTTTACTGTGTTCGCAGGTCTGGTTTCGTATCAATGAGCAGTTACCTATCGATCTGCAGAAGTCATTACCTGACAGACCACCTGAATTGCCATCTTCCAACATGCACGAAGGTAAGTTGTTTTATGATTAAATTTGAACTAATTTGCAAATTAGAGGTCTTTTTTACTATGCAAAATGTGAAAATGGTAGTTCAGGAGACGTGCCATTATGTGCTTGAGTCAAGACATGAAAGGAATGTGTATAAATTTTAGCAGGTTCTGCAAAGCCTGCAACTCAGTCATCTCCAGTGCCTCGTCGGAGTCCACCCCCTCCACCCTTATCTGGAGAAACCAAAAATTCGTCACAGACATCCAATTCTTCTAGTGGAGGGGGAAGTGGAGGACAGCTTGGCGCTTTCTGGTCTAGTATGCATGCAAAGGACTCGTCTGTCTCTGAGGTTAAGAGCAGACCGATATTTGATGAAGAGCCATCTAGCCATCATGTCTCAGCAAAACATGATAAAATTCGTTCTGAAAATAACCAATTATCCAAAAATGTTGGTGGTAAAAAAGTGGAAAATGGACAGCCGCTAAATGTAAAAAACAGTGAACATGGAAAATCATACAAACTTGATACTGGATCTTCCAAGGACTTTGAGATAAAATTTTACCAGGACACACATCAAGCTGGTGCGAGGCGAGCTTCTTTGAGTAAGGAGAACGCTGCTGCCTTCCAAGACAAGGCTTTTGACACATTTGTTGCTGAATTTGATACGAGTAAGCTTAGCTCTGGATTCAGTGATAAAAAACCTGAAAAGGAGGAAGCATTGGAGGCTGAGATGGGGAAACTGAGAGCGCAGCTGAAGGAAGCTCAGCTGGAGAAGGCTGAAATTACTTCAAAGTATGAAAAGCTCTCTGCCATCTGCCGATCTCAAAGGCAAGAGATACAGGAACTCAGGCAAACAATTGCAGCAAGAACTCCATCACCAAAGAGAGATGGTTTGAGCGCCTCTCCTACAGTTCCATTATCTGCCACCACGGTAATCTTACATATCTAATTTCCCACGTTGTTTGTTAACTTGGCACGTTCTTTGTAGGCCGTTTTTGACAAACTGCTATAATTATTGCGTTTATTGCAGCAGAGGGAGAAGGTTAGCGGGACAATGTGGGAACTCCAGCAAAACAAAACTGAGACAAAAAGTCCGAGTTCAGAACCAAAGTCATGGCAAGCTTTTGCAGAGGAACCCCAGCAACAAAATTCTGCTTCTGCGGACAGCAGAGCCAAATCTGTTAGGACCAGAAAAATTTATCAAAACGAGCAACCAGTCCAACCAACTTCAGATTTTGATTCATGGGGTTTTGGAACAGATAGTTTCACTGCTGTGTCTTCTGCTGGCATTTCACAGAAGCCTAGACCACCTAGCACAGAAGCGAGTAATTCTCAGTCTCAGGCTTTTGGTAATGCCAAGACATATGAGAGCAAGTCAGCTTCCCAACCTGCTGGATGGGCTGGTTTCTAATTATCTGGGAAGATGTGACAGAGAAACGCACATGGTGATTGCACTGAAACATGTTTATCTTTTGTTGCCCCAGAAGTAAAATGGGTGGGAACTTTATGTAGTTATTATAAATATACGCATCCAGCTTGTTTGATTTGTTGTGCGGTTTGAGTGCTCGTGTTTCATTCTGGGAGGTTATTGTTACGAAAAACGCTGTTTGGTACTTTGGTACCTATGATTTTAATATTTTGGAATGGTTAATCATTAATAACATTAACATTAAAAAGTTCAAATTGTTCTATTACTTACAGGTCTTATCCCCAAATCGAAATTGACATTATAATGAACTCGAAAAATCTGTTCCTGACGTGGTTTATGTTTATCTCAGAGCCCTTAGCCAGAAGCTGGGAGGGTACTGGAAATAACAAAAATGTTTAGAGCTCCTATGTTGTGACTGACTGTTTTGGTTCTTTTTCTCCCCTCCGGAGTCCAGAATTTTTTTTTTTTTTTTTTTACAAGAATCGGCATCTACATTTGTTCAGGTGACTATTTTGGAAAATGGATGCGCTGTCATTCATTTTATATGCTTTTATTTTACGTAGCTAAAGTGAAGCAATACATTTAGAGGAAAGAATACACGAAAACTTTGGTGAACTGTAGAGCTATATGAACTCTTGTAGATTCAACCATTTCGTTCATTATTTGAATAAAAAATAGAGCATAAAAATAATAAATTTTAAAATGTTCAACTCTTATTATAACTTTTTAATTTGTTTTTATTAGGTTATTTAACTTGACATTTTATTGTGTATTCCATGGAATTTTGAGAAAAGGTATCATATTATTCATGATTTATAAATATTATTTTTCGTAAATTTTATATTGTATATTGATTAATTGATATAATGATATTTGCATAAAGAGATGGATATAAATACTTTCAATTGACCTGACAATGTTTAAATTTATATAGTTAATCAAATATTTATATATAAAAAGAGGTAAATGAATAAAAAAATTTAAATAAAACAGCTTGGCCCAATCCCAAAGAATCAAATCCATGAACTGTGGGACATGTGCATATTAATTTCATGTTCTTCAGGGAAATAATAGAATAGGAACTCAATCCTTAATATTAATTTCATTTTATTGGAAATAATAGAATAGGAACTCAATCCTTAATATTAATTTCATTTTGTTGAGATATGTTTTCTTTCTATCTATCTATCTATTAAAAGAAAAAAACAATGTTACACTATCGACATCCTCAAATAAAATCATAAATCAAGTTCATGAAAAGTTTGAATAAAAATTTTTAAAATCGTGTTTAGCTTGAATATTGATCTATATAAAAATAAAAAAGCATTTGATTTTAACAATTTTTTCTTTTTTACTTTTACTAAAAACAAACAAGCAATTACCTTAAACTAATTTAATGAGTCATATATAGTTTCACAATATGAATTAATTCATACTTGCACGTGTATGACTTAATTTTTTTTAAAAAAATTAACTATCTTAAATATAATTGTTGAATTTAAATAATAAGGAACTTAATCCTCCCTTAAAAAGGAGTTCTGAATTTGATTCTTGTTAATAAAATTATATCATATTAAAGAAATTCCTTTCACTCGTAACCCAACCAAGCTTAACTTAAAGACAATAATATTATATACAAGATTATTTGTTTGCGATTACCTTGTGGACAATCCAAATCTCATGTTTACAACAATTATTGCACCTTGGGTAGATAAATATCAGTACAAAATGTAAAATATATTTGATTAGATCTTCTAATCAAATACTATAGTATGTAGTATTTCCAGGAGGCCAAATAATATATGATCTCAACCTTGAAATAAAAAAATAATAATTTATTTTTATTTTTATTTTAGAAAAAAGGGTGGAGAGAGATCCGACCCCAGCAGCTTCGTTCCGTTGTTCTTGGATTCTTCCCGCCGCGATTGCTCTGCCAAAGGCTTTTCATCACCCTACGGTTCTACTCTTCAGAGTTTACTTCATTCCTGTTCAATTCCATAGCAACTCCTACCCGCATCGAAACCCTTGATTTGTACACATCTCTGAGCTGATTTGGGCTTTGCTTAAGTTTCAGCTCGAAATTCCCTTGGAATTTTGAGGGTTTTAGCAGTTTTCTGTACCTGGGTAGTTCAATTCCGGTGCAAACTGGCTATGGACTACGAACCTTACGATAGTAGCGGTGAGTTTACTAAAAGTTGCTTGCTTTTGTTGCGCATATATAAGCATTGAGTTCTTTCTGTTTGTATTTTAGGGTTAAGGTTTGTTTGAAGTGTTTGCTTGAGTTTGTTTGGCTGATATCAGTTGGTGCTTTCGAACTTTCTTGATATTCTCTGGGCTAGTGAAAGGAGAAGTATGAACTTCACTTGCAACCCAATTTTAGATTTGATGTGCTGTTCAGGAATCTAGGTTTTGTGCTGCTTTCTGTTATCTCTGTCGAGGTTAACAGTCATTAGCGTAGACTGTACATGTTATTGTTCAGCAGAGGTTCTGCACTACTGCCTTGACCAATCTTCTGATTTAAAATTACCCCGAGCAAATCAAGTCATTTTTCGTTGACATTATTATCAACCGTTGGGTTTTAAGAGAAATTAAAATTCCTCTTGTAAAATGTGATTTTTCTCATCCTACTGTCAATTTGACTCAGTAGTTTGTTGTTTTTCTATACTTAAAATTAACAATGCAAGTATGGAACCCTTGGAGGCATTCAACAGTGTTGTTAGCTTTAATCAACTCTCCTTAAGGAAGGACAAAGAATAAAATTACTTTATGAAGACTATTCTGCATTGGGTGGTACGTGTAAGTTTTATGTGCAAGCTATAATATGTTATTGTATAGTAACGTAGATAATGAACATTCTGTAATATACAACGAAGCAAAATAATAATCCAATTTTCTTTGATCAGTGTCAAAGTTTATTGCAAATAAAGTGTTAAATGATATTGTTCATGAAACTATGTGTATAATATTTTTTTCCTATAGTTATTGATTGATGATGCTCAATGGGAAATGCCAAGATGCGGCATTGCAAACTTCATATGCCACTGTGGCTTGTGCCAGCCATGCATGCCATTTGTAAGGATTAGGCCCCTTCACCTAGATTTTTTTGACTCTAAACTTTCACAGCCCCCAGCCCTTTCCTAGCCTCAAAATGTTTTTGTCACATCCCCTCAAACTTCAATGTTCTTCTACAGCCCTAAGAACTCAGCATCTCTTCTCTCTTTATTGTTACACCAGATGAATCATCCACAATTTAGAAACTGCCTTCTGTTTATGTTGAATCTGTGCTCCATCTCTTGCCTTCTCTACTTCTGTTAAATCTCCCTCTACATTGCTGTTTTTTCCTTCTTTTCTCTACCTTTAGGGTGAGCTTTTCTTTACTTGCAATGTGGACATTTTATTTTTTTCCAAGTTAAGAATTATAATGACAAGAATCATTTCAGTTGTGACAGTCATGATAATGAATTTATGAAGAGCTTGTTTGGATCAGCACTGGGCTGGTTCAAACTAGCTTTTTGGGGCCTAAAAGCTGGTTCACTCATTTCCTTCTTGTTTGGATTAGCTTTTTGGTCAACCATGGTTACACATCCGAACTCAGGTTAGATGAGAAGCTATTTGTACATTATATAAAAAAAAAAATTACAAAAGCTATTTGCATATTTATATAAGAAAGTCAAACTGACTTTTTTAATTAAATATATATATATATATATCCAAACATAAATTACATTATAATAACTAGATTTTACCCAAGCTTCACTTTGCAGACTCTAGTTCATGGAAATTTCAATTTTGCAAATGCTAATCCAAACGCATGAACAAATTGATGAAGTTCAGTTATGATAACAATGATTATAAACTTAAGAGCGAATTGGTAGATTGCAGCTGTCCTAACTTTGATATCTAAGGAATGGTATTCACATTTGTACGTTGTGGCTGGTACATTTTGTTTACTTTTGAATTTATTTCTATTTTCTTTAAATGAGGCAAGTTTTTCATTTATATTAATGTATGCATTGGTTCACTTGTCTTTCTATTTATTTTGAGTTGACAAGTGTGTGCTCTGGACTTACATGAACCATGTGGCACTTGTCATGGCTTATGGGCTAGAGTTTGTTTGGAGCTGGGAAATTTCCATACTCACAGCGCACCCATTATGCATGCATGCATACCAAAACATAAAAAAAAAAAAATGATAAGACATACCTGGTATTTGAGATACCCAATATAGGCCTGTGGGGGTACAACTTAAATGTTGCTGTACTGATGCTTATAGATGAAGTGGAGTGGGAGGACGAAGAATTAAAGAAACAAATAAGAAGAAAAAGAAACAGAGTGAAGGATTGACTCGAGATAAGGAAATATTGTTGTTATCCATGTATTTTACCCTATAAAATCATAAATCATGAATATATATTAGTCAGTTAGATAATTACTGTTCTCTAGTTGCCAATAATTTCTATACTATACAGAGTGCACATTTATGATGTATTCTTTTTTCTAATAAGCTTTTACTCACTCAAAAACCAATTCTATAGAAATCACTCTGTAATTTATGGTTGGCGTTTGTTTGAACTTTTTGGTTGAGTTTGCATGGTCTAGCACTTTTTGTGCTTTCTTACTTTGATATATATACCTGGGTCTTTTGAAAGGAATAGAATGAACTTCAATTAACGCCAGAATCTAGGGGTTTGATGTACAGTTGTGGAATATAGGTTCTATTATTTCCTGGTTCTCTATTAGGGGTGATAGTCATTAACATGGATAGAGTACAAGGTAATGTACAATAGAGGTCCTGTATGTATTGTGCCATGACCAATCTTTTGATTCTAGATCTTCTCAAGGAAATCAAGCAGTACCTAACTGACATTTTTGTATAATCTTTTGTTTCTGAGGGATTCTTTAAGTCTGTAAATTTTCTTGTGAAAGTGTTAGTTTTACATCCCCCTAGCAATTTGATTGAGTAGTTCATTGCTTTTTCAAACAGTAGAATGACTATGAAAGCCCTAGGAGGAGTTTGAGCAGGTGGTTAGATTGAATCTTGTTTTAGGTATTACAGAGGAAGAATGATCAGATGTTAATAGAAAGTTTGAACACTAGTTGTGCCAGTACATGTATGAGTGTCATGCATACATAGTTTTTAATATATGCAGGCTTCTTGTATGCAAATATAGGGTCTGATCATCAGAAATGTTATTTTCTTCGGATTCTGATTATTTCTAGAAGCTTAAACAAATTTCATAAAATTTCACAAAATAGATTTCTTTTCAAAAAATGTGATTATTTCATGAAAAAAGCTTAAACAAACAGGCCCATAGTAATTAATGATTAACTATTCTTACAACAATAGACGTAGATACCAAACATTCTATAATAAATAAAAACCACTATGGTAGTCCAAGTTTCCCAATATGATCCCAAGCTTTGACTCATTAAAATAAACCAAGATAATATGCGGTATTAAAGTTGTGCATACAACTCTGTGTGTGTGTGTGAAAGAAGAAATTATTGAGTTAGTAAACTATAATTTCAGATGTGCAGGATCCAGAGGTTGAGTTTATTTCATTGTTTGGATGTGGGGAATTGGTGTACCCATGCTACAGGCAATATGTATCCTAACCAACATTGGATCTGTACATATTTCTATATTGTATTGATTGAGGGTTCCCAATATGTATGGTGTATGGGTACAGGTTGAAGATTGTTGTTGTGCCCATGCTTCATAAGTGATGAGTAGTAGGAAAAGGAACTAAAGAAACAAGTTAACAGGAAAAGAAAAAGAGAGATGGATTGATTGGAGATATGGGAGTATATATTGAAAAAATAAGATGAAATGTTTCACAGTTTAGCACATCACTTTCTGCCCTCAATTGGTAATCACAAATTTATTATTTATTGTTATTTTAATGATATTTTTTTAGCACTGGAGATCCTCAAATACATTTTTTTCCCTTGACGTTTTCGAACTAATATCATCCAAGATGTTCTTTATACTATAATTAGTTAATGTAACTTGCTTTCAGTAGCAGAAAGGTAGATTTTCCAAAATACATGTTTTAGTTGGTAGAAAGGCTTGCATTGTGGTTGACAGTTTGATGGTTGGAAATATTCAATTCTGTCCCTGCTATGGCATGTATCTGATATTTTTAGTGCACTGAAGTTAGAATTGTATTCAATGTTTTCTTATGCATAATATTGACTGTTGTCTGTTCTCTTCTGATGATCCAGTCTAACTTGTATCCCTTGCATGATTGGGATGATTGCAGGAACTGATGATGATCTTCCACCTACCCATCAAAATAGAATCCCTAGAGGGGGACGTCTTGCTGGAAATGGAAGATCTGCTGTAGGTTCAATTCCATATCCCAGGATGTATGGTGAAACTGATATGGAGACTCAAATTCACCAACTTGAACAAGAGGCATACAGTGCAGTTCTACGAGCCTTTAAAGCTCAAGCTGATGCCATTACTTGGGTACATTTGGTTATTTTGTTTTATAAAATCTATTCATTGAAAATATGTTTATCAGGTTCCATTGACTGCTATCTGTCATATATCTTCTTCAGGAGAAGGAAAGTTTGATTACAGAACTCAGAAAAGAACTGAGATTATCAAATGAGGAACACAGAGAACTTCTGGGTCGGGTCAATGCAGATGATGTCATACGAAGAATAAGGTTGGATAAATTAGGAAATACTGTGCATAATTGTTATTTCCATCAACTTTTCTGCAGTACACTCTTCTATTTTGTTAATTGACACTTCTTTTGCATTAGAGAGTGGAGACAAGCAGGAGGCCATCAACCTGGTGCATTGGGAACGGGACAAGCGATGCATGATTCAATTCCAAGTCCTACAGTATCTGCATCTCGAAAGAAGCAGAAGATAACACCATCTGTGCCATCACAATCTTTTGGCGGGCCTTCTCCTCCATTTCACCCCCAACCAGTGGCTATGTCCCACCAGCCATCTTCATCTTCAGCAAAACGAGGAACAGTTCCTGGATCCAAGGGTAAAAAGAACAAACCGGTGAGTAAGTAGTAAAATCTATAGCCACTTGATTAACCCCTTGACGGTATCTGAACAAAGTCTTTTTTTAGTCATAACAAAAGTTATTAACATGCATAAAGTGGAAAATTTACTAAGTTTTATATTATGTTAGCAACATAATTATACTTGTTTTAATCTTTTATTTACAGGGTCAAATATTACCTGGTGCATCTTCGATGAAGCAGTATCCTTCCTCAGGACCAGGCGGAAGGAACCAAGTAACCAATAGGGTTTCCTCTGGTGCCATTATGGGAGAGCCTGCTGAGGGAACAACATTTGATTCATTGATTGGTAGAAGAGTGCGAACAAGGTGGCCTGATGACAATAATTTCTATGAAGCTGTTATCACTGACTACAATGCAGCTGAGGTATTTACAGTCCTTAGTAAGGATCATGCAAGTGCTTTTTGCATCTATATCCACATTGGGGTTGGACACGTACTGTATTTCTATGTGCATGTTGTATGCTGACATGACAAAATACTTTTTATGGTGTTGAAAGATGAAATACTTGTCATTTTGAAATTCTGAAAACATGACTAGATGTGCTTAAAAAACGTTGAGGATTAAAAAATTCTTGCAATCCACTGAAACACGTTAATAAGAAAAAAAATGAAAAGCATAAGAGAAAAGTACTGTAAAATATGTCAAGCATTTTCATTTAAAATTTTTCTAAAATATGAATATGTATATCTGGCATTTATCATATCAAGTATATTATATTAACCATAGTCCTCAATATATTTGTATATATGTAGTATCTGCGCTTCACATCGTTCTATTTTATCAGGAATTTGTTTCTCAATGAATATGTTATTGCTGTCATTTTTTTATTTTGTTTTTAAATTTTCAGGGTCGACATGCTTTGGTCTATGACATGGGGACAGCAAACGAAACTTGGGAATGGGTTAATCTGTCAGAGGTATATCTATGCTTTGTCCCACCTTTGATATCAAGCATGTTGGTTTGTAGTGCTTGCACGTTTCAGCACCAATCTATCATTACCATGCTATGCGAGCAAATGTGTTTGGACCTGTTATTTTGAACTTGAAACGTCTATGTTGCAGGAAGAGAACTGGGAGACAATCTTTTGACTTCAACATAAAGAGTTTTGACAGTCTTAATATTTAACCCATTAGGATTTTTGTCTTTGATGTCACGATATCTGAGAAAGAGTTTTGGATTCTTTTTACTGCTATGTTGTTGTTGATGCAGAGACGGTATTTTTAACTGCAGATCTCTTCTGAAGATATACAATGGGTGGGTGAGGATCCTGGAATCAACCATCGTGGGCCTTACACTGGGCCTGCTCATGGTATGAATAGGCCTGTAGGCCGTGATAGTCTTCCAGGAGCTGGAAGAGGTAGAGGAACCACAAAGGGACAATCTAAAAAAGATTTTTTGCCATTACAGAATGGCATCGGAAAAAGGGCTCCAGATGATATACAAATACGTCATACAGACACGTTAATCAAGGAGGTAACTAAAAACAAGATACTTAGATTGGAACATTCTTTGGCTGAGATTGGTTTATCATTTTGATGTGTATCTAAGTTTCTGGTCAACTTGGATAGGTGGAGAGGGTATTCAGCGCAAATCATCCTGACCCCGCTGAAATTGAGAAAGCCAAGAAAGCATTGAAGGTAAAGGACAACCATATCTGATCTCTTATTTCCTGTCCTGTAATGTTTTATGTTTAATTTTTTTTGACTGATGAGCATGTAAATTAATTCAGGATCATGAACAATCTCTGATTGATGCAATTGCAAGACTCACAGACCTCTCTGATGGTGAAAGTGGTAAAACCATAGAATAGTGTGACATTACTTGGTTATTGAATCTGCCTAATCAATCCGAACAATATTTCTGGAGCATACAGTGTGAAATTCATTTTCGTGAGCAGAAAAGTTCATAAAACAATTTAAATATTTCAGATTCCACTGAGGATTAGTATTAACTAGTTGTGGATACCATACATCAGGGATTTTGGTGACTACAATGCTAGCTTTCTTATTTGAGAAGAAAAGATGTTATGAAAACTTGCAAAATTTTGCCACTTCGGCTTTAATGGTGTGTAATTTGTTGCTATTTTTTAAGACTTCTGTGTTCTATTGTTTGAACAGATGAAGGCGGCCGACATTTCCGACATGCTCAAACGATGGATCGAGATTGACAAAAGGGCAGAGGTAATTTGGGGCGGACTCAAAATGGAAAAAAGAGTGAACTTTGTCGTTGTTGTATTATGCCATGAAGATATTTCCTTCTAACACATGATAACTTGTAGGTTTCTGGGTTCTTGTGGATTAGTCATTGTGTAGGGTCACAGTCACAGTTATTATAGTTTGGTTATAGTTATTTCAGGTTAAAATTTGACCTAGGACCAACTGACCCGATGCTTGTATAGTATTATCCCCATTAGTGATGCTCTGTATAATTTCGTGCACTTATTTTTGCCAACTTTTTTTTTCTTTTTTTTAAGAATCTGGTAACTGTCCTCTCTCATCCTCCTTTCGCTTTCTCTCATTTGTTGTTCCTTTTTTTTTTGGATGTAAGTGTTAAAACTGATGTATTGGGCTTGGCACTATGCAGGCCCAAGTGATTAAATTGTTTGTTACTGAATGTTTTTGTCTTAGTCATCAAAATTGAATTATTTACATTATTTTGCCAAAAAAAAAAAATCATACATTATATAGTCATATCACATGTTCGGTGAGTGTATGAAGGCTCTTTCCTTCTTCAATCTTTCTTTCTCTCTAAATACATTTTTGATGACTGTTATGATTATTAACTTGACTTTCTATGATGATGGGCAACGAGTATATACTTCTAATTAGTTGTTTCTCATGTTCTTGTGCATTTTTGTCTGTACGATATTCTCATGTTTGGTATATTTTCCCCCATTTTTTTAAAAGAAAGGAAACAAAAAATATCTTGTATAAGTTATTTGGGAAGTGTATAGTACACGGAAGTTGGCATCCGAAAATAAAAAAGGAAAAGAAAGTGTTTAGTACATTATCGTTTTTGTGATGGTATTCTAGATGCCAATAAGGCTAGAAGAATTAATTAATCAAAATATAAAAATTGGTATATAATATATATATATATATATATATATATAATGTTTCCAATTATCTTTTTTTTTTTTTTTAATTTTGATGTTCCGAATGCAAAGAGGCTGTTTACAAAATTACTACTCTGTTGAGACGACGAAATTTCATTATAGAGAAAACAATCGTTTAAGAAACAACACTTTCATACTTTTGGACTATTAGTTTTGCTAATCTCTAAACATTGTTACATGTAAGTTGTGTATCATCATTTTTTAACCAGTATATTAAATATTAAAAAAAAAATTATACCATGACATTGTTTGAAAATTCCATCGAGGAAAAATGGCGTAAGATGGTTTGAACGAGACTCAGGCTAGAAAAAAAAAATGCATACAAAGAAAGCGAAAAAAAGGCGCCAACAACAAGAGTGGGACAAATGATCTTTAATCCTAAAAACAAAGGTAAAATGATAACGGAAAAAAAAACTTTAAAAAGTTACCAAATAAGAAAATAGTATCTTTTGAGAAATGGCATCTTTTTTCAATGCAAAAGTTAAAGCCTTAAGGTTATTTTTACCTCTGAGCTTTCTATTGAAGAGTGTTGGGGTATTTTATATTGATAAGTTGGGTAAATTTTTTTCTTAAACCATTTTTTAAGGAGTAAAAAATTTCTTTCATTAATCAACCATTAGCTTTGTTATTTTTTTACTAACGTGGTATATGTTTGGAGCTCACGCATAATAACAAATATAATCCTAACATGTACTTGCTGATAATTTGTCCATAAATTCTTTCTTTTAAGAGCATTTGGTACTCTAAGGTCTTTTGCTAGTAGCAGAACACTCGAAAATCTTATTAAAATAAATTTTAGTAAATATTATTAAAATATTAAATATTTTGAAATTTAATGATTTGAATATTGTTATTTATAAATATTCACCCAAAATTTTTAAAGTAATTTTTAAATATTAATAGTTTAAAGTAGTTTTTCAAAAAAATTATATAACTTGTAATTTTTTATATATTGATCATATTTTTAACGCTGATTAAATTTCTTAAATTTTTTAGATCTTTCTCTATAATTGTTTTAATCAACTAATGGTCTTTCTCTAAAAAATATTGCACCACCCAAATTTAATATTTTAATATTTTGATATTTTATAACTTTGTGTTGAACATGAATAAAATGAATCTCCAAATTAATGGAGAGATTTTTCTCCTCATCTCTCCATTATTTTCTTGTTATGTTGCTCTTTTTGTGCCGCATTAATGAAATAGGCGATATTTTTCAAATAATTATTTTTGTTGGCATATTAGTTCTGGTCTATCATGTTTCTAATTTTATACCTAATATTGCAAGGTGGTACAATATTTGGGGGGAAGACCATTAGTTGATAAAAAAATTATAGAGAATGACATAAAAAATATAAAAAAAATTAATTAATATTAAAAATATGATCGATATATAAAAAGTCACAAATCATCTATAAATTTATAATAAACTAGTTTGGGTTGTTAATATTTAAAAAATAATTTATAAATTTTGAATAAATATTTATAAATATTAATATTTAAATTATTAAGTGTTAAAATATTTAATATTTTAACAATACTTCAAGATATCTAATGTTTTTAAAAAAAGACTTTAAGGTGTCCAATGCTCATAGAAAAAAATTTCAAAAGCAAATTAATATCAAATGACATAATCAAAGTCCTACTTATCACTGGACTTAAACCCCACACATTAGCTATGTCAATAGAAAATATCAAAGTTAACTGTTGACTAATGAAAAAGGTTTTTGGTCCTTAAGAAAGTGGTTGAGGAGAAAAATTGCTCAACTTATTAGTATAGAGAAAAGAACCTTAACCCATATAAAAATATTATTAAACAATAAACATTTGTAGGAAAGTTTTAGGAAACAAACACCCAAAGGAAATGAACAAACTGAAAAAAAAAATTTGATTGAACAAGGAAAAAAAAAACAAACATTTGTAGGGCAAGCACCTGAAGTTGAAGCTTTTCAAACTATCCTTGAACCCTGATAGCACTAGAAATGTGCCACCTGTGTATTCCACCTCATCACAATGCATATCTCTCACTGAGTGTTGCATGGAATTACGTAACTGACCTTTTGTCTGAATGCATCGCTCAGAGAGTCTTGAAGACTGTATTACATTGACAAGTTAAAAAACCAATACTTTGCCACCTGCAAAACAGCCCTGATTTCCCCCCCAAAAAAAAAAAAAAAAAACACACACACACACACACACACACAGCAGTGGAAATGAATTGAGTGGTAACGATGAAGCCAAGATAATGACCACCTTTGTATTTGAAGAATTCAAAAGCCAATATATTTGAAGAATTAATGATAGATGACAATCAAAACCATGCGACCGATGTATCCAATCCAATGAGTGGGATCAGAGTGCTTCTTTTGTTCTCGATAATGTTCAGCACAATGTTTTCTTGAAAATTTCGTGTAATTTTTATATTTTTGTCATTGAGTATTTTTTAATTAAAATACAAAAGAATTATTATTTAATTTCAAAGTGTACTATGTATACTTGGCAGATAATTTATTTTTAGTTTCCAAAGGTGTATAGATTTATTTACAAATAATTTGAAATTCAAAGAAAATTGTATTCATTTAAAAAAATAACTTGTTAAATTTTAGGCAATGATAAAAAGAACGAGTAACTCGTACTAAATGCAGGAGCTTGTTAAGAGGTTTATTTTGATTCTAAATATAAGACCTCTATTTACTTTGTCTTTTAAATTTATAATTTTTTTAAACTATTCCCATTGACTATACATATTAAAGACAGTTTTTACTAATGGAATAGTTTCCAATGATTAAAAAAGATATTCTAAGAAAACCAACACAAGTCTTTTAAAAATAATTAATTTAACTAATTTCTTTAATCTCTATAAATTTTTAATCTAGCTCCTACCTACATTTTGGACCTGAAGGAACATTCTTCCTTGGTCCCATAATATATGGGAAGTGGATCCTCTCAGCATCCCTCAACATCTCTAACTCTTGAAGAAGAATGACAATAAAGCCCCAAAAGAAGAAATTCATGATAGTTAGATCTATGACAAAAGAATTTAAACAATGAATTGTTAAAATTAATTTAGATAGTTATAAACAAGAATTTCAATTATAGATTGAGAGTTGCATTTAAAATGTAAATATCTTATTTGCAATTATTTGAATAAATATTTGTAACTTATGTTTAAAAAAATTATCAAATACCCATCATTAAATCCTTTTTTAGGACTTAAGTGTTGTTCTTTCTTATAAAAATATGTTTAAATAGTGAATGGTTTATTTTTAAATTTTTAGTACTTCCATTCTCTTTTTTAAAAAGCCTTGTAAGATATTTAAATTTTAAATATAACTCTCAGTTTGCAATTAGAATTTCTGTTTATAACTATTTGAATGAATTTTTGTTAGAAATATAATTGTTATCAATTTTTTCTTTTGAGTTTTTACTGTCATTCTCTTTTTAAAAAATATTGTGGTTTGGTATATTTTGAGCCCATGGATTGCTTAAGCGGGTAGAATTTAAGAACGTTGAGGGAGGATGAGAAAAAAGATGCAGAGAGGATCCAGACTGTAATATATGACGTTTTTTAAAAATTTATTGGGTAATTGTAATAATTTTTTTATTATATCCCCACTTCATTTATTATTCCATTTAAAAAAGTAACCTATTAAAATTTTAATTTTCATTATTAAAACATATATACAGGACATCTAATAAGAGTATTATAACTTATTAGATGTATAATTTTTTTTTTAAATATGGCTAAGATCATTTTTGCTTTCAAACTTTTCATGCAAGGTTTATAGTTGTTCTAAACTCTATTTTAAATCATTTTTATTTTTAAACTGTTAAAATTTGATGTCTCATTATTTTTTCATTCATGCACTGCTTGTTGGTTGTTAGTTGTTACCCGCTTGGGTGGATGCATTTTGTTGATTTTTTCTGGCCACTGGCATCCAAGGGACACATTTTAGAACATTTTGGGTTAAGTTTTTTAAAGTTTAAAGGAGAAAATAACTTTAAAAATCAAGCTCAAAACACTAGTGTTCCTAAGTTAATATCTCAAAGAAGTGATCTATTAAATTTTGATTAAACCTCTACTTAAATGTCACGTGGTTTCAAAAAAAATTAACAAAACTCATCCATCTCAATAAATAACAGTCAACAAATGATGAGTGAACAACCGGATACAAGGTGTCAAATTTTAAGAATATAATTGTAAAAATGATACAAAATCAAATCCAAGACACACGCAAATCTTACGCAAAAAGATTGAGGATAAAAATAACTGTTAACACAAAGAAATTAAAATTTTAATTAATGTTTTTCATAACGGTGAA